AAAATTGGTTGATAATTATCTTTTCTAGTTACTTTGAACAAAACTAGTATTAAGATGTATTATTCAAGAGTTGCTACTAAAAGTAACATGCGTTTGAAAAGTTTGAGCTTTACGATGCTATAGATGGGAGTAATTAATAATGTTTTTTGTTTCTAGAAAAATGTCAGCTCGAAGCCAGAATCTTGTTAAATTAGCAATAGAACAAAAACCTAAAGAGATCTTACAATCTTCTTGTGTTAACCCAATCTCTGATCGAACTTTGAAGGTTGTTGAAAATCATAAACCCGGAACTCATATTGAATTTGACATAGAAAATTTGGTAGATGCAGGACTTATTTTTGAAAATGAGCAATTAAATTTTATTGATAACCAACAATGTGTGCCTTTAGAAGTTAACAGTACAAATCCTGAACCCGTTTGTTCCAGTGCAGATAACGTTCACACCGAAGCTTGTGTTTTGCCACTTAACGTTTTACCAGCCCACATCAATACGGATCTACAATGCTTTGAAAATAGAGACATCGTTGATGTCGATATCAATGGACTTATTTCATTAAATACTACAGATGAAGAACATTTAGCTACTGAGAGAGAATGTCGATCTACAGGATATTTTAGAACTACGCCTACAGATGAAGTAGATTTTCCAGTATTATCTGATAGTGATGATCCAGACTATAATATTGCACCATCTGATGAAAACAGTGAAGATGAAACGGATGCTGAAAAAAACATTGCCCCCCCCCGCAAAATGCTACTTACGAAAATCAGGAAGAAACTAATACAGAAGAGGCAGTCCACTTAAATAGATCGAAAAGAGCTCAACCAGAAAATTGGAAAAGGGAGAGGAATAAAGTTAAAAGAATGAAAGGTGAGAACTATTTAGGATACACTAGAACCAGAGATGGAAAAGTAAGCCATAACGTACAGCGCGATTCTAGAAAGTCAGTACATTGTGAGTCAGAATACTGTTTAAGAAACAAAAGATTTTGTAGCTCCATATCTATAGAAGACTCACAGAAACTTTTTTCAAAATTTTGGAGTTTATCGTGGGACGAGAAAAAAGTGTATGTCTGCTCTTTGGTAGATTATAACCCAAAAAAACGCAGCTATACTGCTGGCCCGTCTAGAAGATCCGGCACATTTATTTACCAATTAAAAGTTAATAATGAGAAACTTAAAGTATGCAAACGAATGTTTTTAGGCACTTTGGGACTAAAAGAAAAAATGGTACATTGTTGGCTAAAAAAAAGTAGCTCGGGAATAGTAGAAAAAACAGAAAGAGTGGGAAATAATAATGAAGCAAGTCGTGAAAACGAAAAAAGGAGAAATCACCTAAATACTTTTTTTAATGAATTGCCGAAGCAACCGTCCCATTATTGTAGAAAAGACAGTTCTAAAGTGTACTTGGAGCAAACTTTTCAAACAAAATCTCAGATCTATAAATTATACAAAGACAATTGTCTGGAGAACAATATCGAACCGTACACACTTTTCCCTTTTTACCGTGTATTTGAAGAGATGAATTTGTCGATTTTTCGCCCAAAGAAAGACGAATGCGATGTGTGTTACGGGTATAAGATAAAGCAAATATCTGAAGATGATTACAATGCACATTTTGCAAAAAAAACTAGAGCAAGGCTTGAAAAAAACAAAAATAAGGAAGAAGCTCTCCAAAATCAGGTTTATACATTCACTATGGACACACAAGCGGTAAAATTATGTCCATTTCTAAACGTGGGTGCTTTTTATTATAAAACAAAACTCCAAATTCATAATTTTACCATTTATAACCTAGAGTCTCATAGTTGCGTAAACTATGTATGGAATGAAAGTGAAGGTGACTTAAGTGCATCTATTTTTGCCACTTGCATAATAAAACATTTAAAAGAAAATTGTTTGGCCGATAAAAACCCATTATTTTATTTTCTGATGGCTGTTGCTATCAGAATCGTAATGCTATATTGTCTAATGCATTACTGCATTTCTCAATCGAGCATAATGTTGTTATTGTGCAGAAATATTTGGAAAAGGGTCACACTCAAATGGAGTGTGACTCTGTCCATGCTTTAATCGAAAAGAAATTAAAATATCGAATTATACAACTACCAAGTGAGTACATTTCTGTAATTCGCGAAGCTCGATCAAAACCTAAACCTTTTGATGTCTGTTACCTAACTCACGATCAATTTATAAACTTCGATGATAAATCATCATTTATCTATAATTCTATTAGGCCAGGAAGAAATGTTAATGATCCAACGGTTACAGATCTTAGGGCCTTAATGTATACCCCAGAAGGAAAACTGTTTTATAAAATTAACTTTGATGATGACTACAAAGAATTACCACAAAGACCAAAACAAAATAACATTAAAATAGTTTTATTCCAAAGATTATTTCAAGAGAGACTAAAGATAAAACATTCTAAATGGTTGCATTTGCAGCAATTGAAAACGCATCTCACATCTGATACGCATTCTTTCTATGATTGTCTTCCACATCATATAGAATAGTTTCATAACTAGTAATGTTTGCTACTTTAAAGTATTTTTAAATTTTTAGAATTTTTCATTTTGTTCTTATTTTATTCTTGTTTACGAATATTTGTAATAAAATGTTTTGTTTATTAAAGTGATTAAAAATAATAAATATTTTTAAGTATCATCCTTCTTTTAATTTGGCGTAAGCCTCAAAAATGCATTTTTATTGTAACAAATATGACGTATCACACATAATTAATTAATTTACCAAAAAAATTGTATTTAGCCATTGTAAATATGAAAAAATGTCACCAAGATTATATCTATACCAAAAATTATCACGTTTTTTTTTATTTTCACGTTCTATTATGTTTTTCTTGTTTACTGAAAATTTTACTTTTTGGGGTTACGTCCTATTACAAATAAGCCATCGATATACTACTTTTTCTAAAAATTTTTTCAAAGCAGCTAAGCATATTTATTGGTCTGAAATCAGAAGCTTTATTAGATTTTGCAACTTTAGGAACTGGTACAATGGTGGAGACCTTGATACCATCTGGGACTTTACCAGATTCTAAAGAAGTATTGATAACATTTATCAAGGGTTTAGCAATATTGTCATAGGTATTTTTTATAAATGCCATGCCTATACCATCTGGACTGTTCTTATTGGGCATTGAGAAAATAATTTTTTTAAGCGTACTAAAATCAATTAAAGTAAATTTGGAAAAGTTACTGATATTTTCCCGATTAATATTAATGGGGAAGTCTGGACAATTTTTATCAATTTTATCCATAATTTTATCAATACTCTCAATGTAGAAAGAATTCAAATTATTTGGTATATCTTCAACTCTATCTATGGTTTTCTGTTCAATTTCAATTTCTAAAAAATCCGTATTGGCCACATTATTTGGAACCAACGTTTTTAGTGTTTTCCACAATTCCGTTGTATTATTTTTTTAGTCATCTATCTTATGCTGATGCAGCAACTTTGGCATCGGTGTGGTATCTACCTGTCTCTTTTTTTTATCAATCTATCAATGATGAACTAACAGCGCTATCTTTTTATCCAACGTTGCTGCAATCGATGCAACACCAATCCATCAGTTTCTGTAACGTTTTTCCGATTAGATGTGACAACTGACAGCTGGATTGCAAAAAAGCAGAATTAAGGAGTTAATTAATTATGTAATTGTTCTATTGTGGAAAAAACCGAAAAAATGGGCTTGTACAAATACATACTTTCAAATTAGGATATATAGGTACATTCAAATAAAATTATAATAAACACAAATTTTAATCGAAATTGGCAACAACTGTTATTTATTTTAACGGTCACCCGTACATAAACCGAATCTTACACAAGGCATTCAAGGTCGCATCGGTGATTACAACAAACACATGTGTAGCTTGAATCAGACGTCACAATTAAATTAAGAAAACACGGTTCGGGAAAAATTAATTGTTGTAACGATTATACGGCAAGGTCTATGCGGCGGTGGGACTGAAACTATTTAGCTTTGATTATCTTCTTACTAAGAGAATGTGGGGAGACTTTCAAGGGCCCAACGGGGGTTAATGTGCGCCGTCGCGGATAGCACCCAAACAGTAGATGTGTGGGTGGATGTGCGTGTAAGTGTGCATATTTGCGTGTTTGCTTATGTGTATGCGTGCGCGCGTGCGTTTTAACTCGTGAACGGATATAGAGAAAAACACAAAATTTTAAACTTAAACTTTAATCCATCCTGCGGTGAACTTCTTAGATTTTGGGCATGGTCGGAACATTAGGGGGTAATTTATATAGGGTCGTTTTTCTATTTTATAGAATATATCTGTTATTTACGCGTGTAGATGAAAATTCTTTAAATAAAAGTTGTTTTCGATGTCATTTTATATAATTTTTGTCCAATATATAATTTTCTTAAAATGGGCCGTATTCGAGATATTTGTGGAAAAGTTCAAATTTTGAAGATAATTCAAAAGCGAATAGAGAGAAAAACACCAAATTCTAAACTTAAGTTTTAATCCATTCTGCGACGAGCTGATTAAATTTTAATTAGGTCGAAGTATCTGGGGGGTACTTTTTATAGGTTGTCCTTTAAGGAATATCTTCGTTATTCACTATTGGAGAATAACATTCTTCAAATAAAAGTCTTTTGCGATATCATTCTCTATAATTTTTGTTCTACAGGGGTTTTCTCTAAAATGGACCATAATGGAAAATTTGAGGAACAGTGTAAAATTTTAATTTTTCAGTATTTTCGTTGGCAATAAATATATATATATATAAAATGTTTAGAGTAAAAGTATGTGACAAATGTATGTATTTAGTTCATCCTCTTAATTATTTACAGGGGTGATATAATAGGCTGTACCAGAAAAGTCATGTGTTGAACACATCAGATTTTTTGTAGACATTCTATATCTTAAGGGATCAGTTCAGTTTATTTAATTAAATGAAAGTTTTAGCAAAATATTTTAGAAACTTATAATGAAATATTTTCTTTTTCTTAGCCTCCTTTTAGTGCCGAAAATAGGAAAAAGACAATAGAAAAAATCTTAAAGGGGAAATTGAATCTTCCTCCTTATTTAACAGGCGATGCTCGCGATTTAGTGCGTAAACTGCTGAAGAGGCAGGTGACTGCTAGATTGGGTGCTGCGCCCGAAGATGCCGGCGCAGTTAAACGTCATCAATTCTTCAAACACATTGTATGGGAAGACGTTCTGCGAAGGAAATATGAACCTCCATTTAAACCTAGCCTTGTGAGTTACATTTGAAATTTTTATAAAAAGATATTTATTATCGAAGATTTAATATGCGATTTTTCTTTTTTAGACAAGTGACGATGATGTCTCTCAATTTGATACAAGGTTTACAAAACAAACGCCAGTGGATTCTCCAGATGAATCTACGCTTAGTGAAAGTGCCAACTTAATATTTCAGGTAAATTTTTTAAAGATGAACGACGTTTTGTATTCATTTACAGCTCCTCTGATAAAATCAACTTGGTGTTCTATTCTCGTTTGGAAATTTAGTTTGCAAATATACAGGATGTTCCTAAATATTATGTACATACGGATGGGGGTAATTTTATGGCTTAATTCATGACTAAAAATTCATATAAACATAGGTCTTCAAACGCTTTGTTACTGTTTCCTATAACCCTTGCAGTCATTTATCTCAAAATTGGAATCTAGGTGTTTACATCATTAGGCATGCCAGATGGTTGTGAGAACCTACAGTGTGATTTGTCGGAAGTCATCTCCTGAACTTTTTTGCGGTGCGTCTCTGGTAGATTCTACAGTAGAAATATCGCCAGTTTCAGGAAAATAAAATTTTAAACCTTTGTTTCTCATGTACTTGACTTCTAAGTCACAACTGGTCTTTTTCAAAATTTGAGCAACATTTCAGTTTTTTTGGTACAAAATTGTATAACTATAAAATCACCTACTAACAAGTTTTCAAATACAACTTCATAATTAAGTTCATCTTCCGACCGTTCTTCTTCCAAATCCAGAACATCAGAATCATCATGGATGGAAAAAGATTCATCTTAACTGGATGTTTCTTTTGTGTTGAAGACTCTCTTTGTAACTTTCGCTTTTTCTGGTCTTTGGCGCTTAATGCCCCTTCCAAGGCTTCTTTCTCTGGGGTTTCTGCTTTTGGTTAGGGTCGCACAGTTTCAACAGGCGGAGTAGGCAAGCTGTTCGATGGAAGGTCTTGTGTATTATCGATGCTATCTCTGCTGGTTGACGGTAATAAAGCACTACCAGGTGCTAACTGCTGGGGCTGTGGCATATCCGTTTTGATCGAACAATTCAAGCCTATCAGTGACCGTAGCACAATCAAAGTCTTCGTCGGTAAATGCGTTACGATCAAATAGATATATGCCCGGTTTTTGAAATCCAGCAATATTGTGAATGGTTATTGTCTTGCATGGATGCGAAAGCATGCAATCATTTTGTGTAACTTTATATTTCGCCTTAAAGGGTCCCATTGCAGATACATCTAACGGTTGTAGCCGATGTGTACAATGAGGTTGAAAAGTTACCATCACAATCCATGATCTTTTGCATACACTACAGCATCAAAAGAACAGTGACGTAGAAGTAGCAATATGGGATCTTCCTTATTGCATTTTGTGCAGGTTACTAAGTGCTCTAGAGCTAGTTGGGCTATTAACTAATCCGAGACTTCCTGGTGGTACCCCAATCATAAATGAATCGTGAAACCCTACTCAGGGGAAAATGTAAACGGGCGGTACTGTATTTCCCGTCGCACTGACAATTCCAACCATTGTAACAAGTGTCCCTCGCTCCCCTGAAACTCCTTGTCCTACCTGTTTAACTCCTTTTTCTGCAATTACATTGGGCGCTTGTACAACAGTCATTACACCAGTCTCGTCCAGGTTAAATATTCTCTGAGAAGAAAATGCATGTTTTTGAAGAGCTCGTAAAATTCCGTGACATTTGATTTGTTAAAACTCGTACTCCTAGATAAACTCGTGTTTTCTGGCTTACGCAATGACAGTGGTTCGTGTCTTTTCATAAAGCCCTTTACCCAGTCAGTTCCTGCTAATCCATTCTTTTTCCATTTTTCAGGAAATTTTCTGTGTCGTTTTAACGCATAATCGTAAGCCAATGTATGTCATAGTATGTATGTTAGTCCATAATTTATTCTAGAGCATTTAAGAATATTTAAGACCAGTTGCTGTTCTTGTTTATTCGTAAACAACTGTCTCGCGATTCGGTGTCTAGTTTTTTTAGTCAATAATAAGTGCAGTGTGACCTACTCCGAAGGATTCAGCAGCTTTTCTTAGAAATAGTTCTTTCTTCCTCACACATTCCATTGCTTTCTTCACTGAATTCCGGTTTTGTTCGCTTTTTTACATAATTCTGACCATTGTGTTAAGTATATGCAAAGATCTGTAAACAAGAAAGATGGTGTTAGCTAAATACCCGCATTTACTGTTTTCGTTAAACCTTAACTAAGCGTTAATACATAATATGGGACACTTTTGAACACTGTTCAAATGTTCCCCAGGTATACATACATATACATACAAAAAAAATAATTATAAAATCTATGAAAACTTAAATTCAACAGTACCTTACTTCTTGACACCTTAACATACCACAAAAAACGATATCACTTTTAAATTGTCAGTATTTTAGTTTTAATTTAAAATTTTAATCACGTGCGATGTAATAATTTATTTAGGTAAATCATATATCCGATCTAAGACGCAAACGACCGCAACTGGTCAGCGCAACGAACACGGTTTGTCGTAGTGCTTTTAGGCTTTGTTGCCAAACTGCACTTTTATAAAAATTCAGTACCTATCTTTTTTTAAATACATTGCTCAAAAGTGTCCCCGTTTAAAGGTACCCCCTTCTCCCCTACTATATATACATACAAGAGATAATATAAAATACAGTAGGTACCCTACTATTCGTAATTTTTTTTTTTTATTTTTATTTATTTTTATAAACTGTTCTACAGGAAATTTTCAATTAAAGAACAGGTAAAATATGACAAAACACATATATCAGCAAAATACAATATAAAAAATTATAATATAAAAATTACAAAACAGAATATAGATTTAAGAAAGAAAAAAAAAACAGACTATTTAAAACGATAAAATAATCACAAAAGCAAATGTTTTATGTCCAAAATTCTAATGTTAAATATATCCAACTCAGAGTTTATGCTGTTGCAATTACTACACATTACATATAATGGAGATTTGCTTAAAATGTTGGTGCGAGGAGTGGTCAAATAAAAAGTATCAATGCACCGAGAAGTTTGGCGGGGAATCCTAAAATTTAACATATGCAGCAGCTCTTTACAATTTATTTTGTTGGTTATGATTTTATGCAGTGTAAGTGTAATATACCGTCAATGTGGTCATTGAAGGATAGTGCTGAATCAAAAGTAACACCCAAATCCACAAAGTTATGTCTGCATAATAAAGTGTTGCCTATACGGTAATTGTAAGCAATTGGATCAGAGCTTAGTGAATAAGACATGACATTACACTTAGAGGAGTTCAAATTAAGGTTATTTTCCCGACACCATTCGATAACTCTTAGAAGATTTTCAGATAGCCTTTCACAATCCGCAACGTTCTTAATTGTTGTGTAAAATTTAAAGTCGTCGGCGTAAATTAAAGAGTCAACATCAACTACATCCACGATGTCATTCATGAAAATATTAAACAGTAACGGGCCTAGATTTGATCCCTGAGGAACACCGGAGGTGGCAGAATACTGATCAGACCTAAATCCATTTAATTGAACGTATTGTGTAATAGACGTATTTACAAGCAAAACACAATAGCTTATTTTGTTCAACTGACTGATTTTGTTGAAACTTTCTAGAATCTTCTTTAGGGCAAGAGCTAATTTTCTATCAAAAAATAACTTTGTTTAAAAGTTTTTCCTGAAATCATAATAATGAGAAATTATCGTATTTGACTCTAACAAACCTTTTTTCTTTTGTAAGTTCTCTTTCTCCTTCAGAAGCAGTTAGTGTAGATGAATGGAAGCTTACAGACATTGTGGTTTTAGGTGATTAGTTTAATTAATTTTGAACAATTTTTTGTCTTTTAAAGAGAGTTAATGATTGAAGTTCTTTGTCTTGCATATTTTCATTCCTACAAATGAAATGTACATAAAATTTATTTTGCCCATTTATTAATGATATACATTTTATTACATTTTAAAAGTTCCAAAGGCTACTACCAGCATCTTTTTGATTTTTAAAAATGTAATAGCTAATCATACCTTTTCGTTAGCCTTCTGTCTTTCTTTTCCAACTTCGAAATTCCCATTGATGGAAACTGAGATAAGGGCATATTTTCTTTACTCTCGTTATTTTCAAGCCTGTAAACAATAATGTTATAATAATACCTACATGTTTACTATTTAACAAAATAAGAAAATAAGTGTGTTTCGAAAGTCACATATAATATGAATATCTAATTTCATTACTTCTAGTGTTTAATGGAAAAAACATTTCGAAAGCAAGGTACAGGTTTTGTTATATAGCTCCTTTTATTAATCTATTGCTACCTTTATAATAATGTTCAGTTAAAAACTGGTCTAAACATTGACATGTATTGTTAGACATGCTATTAAAACTCAAAGTGAGCACTTGACACTAAGCCAGTTTGGTTGTGAGATCAGTAGAGAATCTGAAATAAGTAAAAAAAAAAGATTTAAAAAATTAATGGCAAATAAATATGTAAAATACAAATAGGTATCTAATCTATTTTACAATACACAAAAAGACTAATAAGTTAAGAATCATATCGCAAAGGAAACAATGAGTGCGATGATGCTCAAATGAAGAACTTTCTACAAACATGTTTTTTTATTAATTTGTCCATTTTCCATTTTAAGTTACGTTTATGGAATATAGAATAATTATTTGTGAAACTTTAACCGGGATCCTTTTAAGAATTTTTTATTGCAAACTATACAAGCTCTCGTTTATAAAAGTGGTACCTCGTCCAAATTGTCTTCGAAGGTATCCCCATGGGAGGGCCACAGGTGCGTTTTGCCAAATGCACACACAGGCCGGGATACATTGTAGTACGTTGTGCAGACAGACTTAGTGCACAATGGTTAAAGGATGTGGTGTCTACGCTTAGGCCCTGGGAGGGTGCAACCCTCGAGGCTCGGCAGGACATCGACATCCCAAAACCAAGGATATGTACAACGTACATAGCAGACGAGGGTGGAAAGAGGCTAGAAACCCAAAGAGTCCTTAACAGACTGAGGGTCAGCAACAACACCCTTAAAATCAACCTCTGGAAGGTTCTGACCCAACGATTTCGCTGAGTTTAGGAAAATATGCAACATTGTTCCAGGCTGAACTAATCATATACTCTGTCATATCCTGTCATATCATATACTGTCATATACTCTGATAGCCAA